GTCCGGCCGCGGCCGCTGCCTCCCAAGTGCCAGGTAGGTGTGCGCGGCCCCTGGTGGCGGGAAACCCGGGGGCGCCGCGCCCCCCGCCCCGCCACCTGGGCACCTGTGGGAATCGCAACACCTGGCGTTGTGACCAGCCAGCTGCGGGCGCCGCGGGCTCACTCCTCCGCTTCCTGGTCTCAGTTTCCCCACTTGTGAAGCGACGGGGTGGACTCTTGCCCCCCGGCCCACTCTTCCCTAGCTCAGATGCCTGGTGGGGCGACGCTGCCCCAGGCCAGGCCCGCCCAACCATGCGTCCTCACCATCTGGTGCAGAGGGGGCTCTGCCAACCTCAGCCTCTCCCCCGCAGCTCTTGCACGTGGCAGTCGTGTGTGCGGGATATAACACCAGCCGAGATGTCATCACTCTGGTGAAGTCCATGCTCTTCTACAGGTAGGCCAGGTGTTGGGTGGGGGGGGGAGCGTTGTCAGGAATGGGGAACGGAACAAAGCCTTGAGCAGGATCACAAAGTTGGATTTTCCACTTCTGAGCCCCTTGGGGCTTGTCCCATGTTGTTCCTTCTTGCCACTCCCAGCTTACCTCCCTGTTCCTCCCAAAGGAAAAACCCACTGCACCTCCACTTGGTGACTGATGCTGTGGCCAGGAACATTCTGGAGACGCTCTTTCACACATGGATGGTGCCCGCTCTCCGTGTCAGCTTCTATGATGCTGATGAGCTCAAGGCAGGAGCCCTGGCCCTTCCGCAGTCCTCCCCAGCCTGACCAGCCCTCTCCTTACTCCCAAGGCATGGGGGGTAGGGGAGGAGAGGTTAGAGTTGCCTGGAACCCCCAGTTCCATCACACCTACTGAAGCTCAAATCCCTCACCCCTCCTGGGGCTTACCCCTTCTTCTTGTGTCACCCTGAGTATGTTCTGGTGCTCATAGGTTCTTCTCTGCCAGGCTCATGCCCTGCCCTTCCCACCCACAGCCCCAGGTCTCTTGGATCCCCAACAAGCACTACTCTGGCCTCTATGGGCTAATGAAGCTAGTGCTGCCTGGTGCCCTGCCTCCTGACCTGGCCCGTGTTATTGTCCTAGACACAGATGTCACCTTCGCTTCTGACATCGCAGAGCTCTGGGCACTCTTTGCTCACTTTTCTGGTGAGAGGCCTAGGACCTTGCCCCAGCCAATTCTCCTCCCTAGTCCATCCAAGCTTCCCTGTGGCCTAACCCTGAGCCAAGGTCCTGTGGCAGCCTCAGGCAGCTCCCTCATGCCCTCCCCTCCCAGATGAGCAGGTGATTGGTCTCGTGGAGAATCAGAGCGACTGGTACCTGGGCAACCTCTGGAGGAACCACAAGCCCTGGCCTGCCTTGGGCCGGGGATTTAACACAGGTGGGGACAGTGGTGTGGGATGGTGGCCACTGGTTCTTGCACCCCAGGGACTGGGCAGGGCATAGAATGCTAGGAAGCCCCCAGGAAGAATAGTGCTGTGGAAAGAACACTGGGAGAAGAGCCAGAAAACAGTTTCAACCTTGGCTGTACATGCTGAATGACGACTGTGGCCAAGTCACTTGGTCTCTCTGTGCCTCGGTTTTCTTACCCATTAAATGGGGATTTTACCAGCCTGGGATCACTGAGTGTGAGAAGATGGCTGTGGACATGCTCTGTAAGGTGTGCAATGACTCTCCTTTACCTCCAAGAGGACTGAGTATTTACAGAGGTTGTCCATGCTCATATCTGTCAGAAAACACAATAAGTCAAAAAAGAAACATTCAAAAGACTCCTTCATGCCCCTGGCCCCAGGAGTAGGGTTGTCCCAGGTGGGGATGACGACTTCTCCCCGTGGGCAGGTGTGATCCTCCTTCGGCTGGACCGGCTTCGGCAGGCTGGCTGGGAGCGGATGTGGAAGCTCACAGCTACACAGGAGCTCCTCGCCCTGTCCGCCACCTCGCTGGCCGACCAGGTCTGGGGGAGCCTTTCGGGGGGAGTGGGGCAGGCTCAGGGCCAAGGTGAGACGGCTGTCTCTGCCCAGGACATCTTCAATGCTGTAATCAAGGGGCACCCGGTGCTGGTGCACGCCCTGCCCTGCGTCTGGAACGTGCAGCTGTCTGACCACACACTGGCCGAGCGCTGTTACTTGGATGCCGCTGACATCAAGGTGAGTGTGGTGGGGGGCTGAATGGTGGTAGTGGGCCAAGGAGAGACTCCAGCTCCCATCCCCCCACTGACTGTCCCCTGGGTCCCAGGTGATCCACTGGAACTCTCCAAAGAAGCTGCGCGTGAAGAACAAGCACGTGGAGTTCTTCCGCAACCTCCACCTGACCTTCCTGGAGTACGACGGGAACCTGCTGCGGAGAGAGCTCTTCGGGTGCTCCAGCCCTCGCCCGCCTGAGGCTGAGCAGGTGAGACAGCCACCTTCCCTGGCCTTGGGGAGACTGTCCCTCTCTGCTCTGGTGGACCCAGCCTGGTCTGGGGACTTGTCCTCCTGCCCCAGCCCTGGCCCTTCTGCCCTTGACCCCTCAGTTGCAGCAGGCCCTGGCACAGCTCAACGAGGAAGACACCTGCTTTGAGTTCCGGCAGCAGCAGCTCACTGTGCACCGTGTGCATATCACTTTCCTGCCCCATGAGCCACCGCCCCGCCGGCCCCACGATGTCACCCTTGTGGCCCAGCTCTCCATGGACCGGTGAGGATGCTGAAGGCAGCCTCACAGAGTGTGGCAAGGGCCGAGACTGGCAGTTTGGGAGGCAGGTGTCATTTGGTAGAAAGAAGAGTTCTCAGTGCCTGATGTTTGAGGAGTCCCAGAAGTTGGAGACACTGGATATGGTGGAAAGAGCATGGGCTTTGGGAATCATTCAGATGCCTGGAAATGCTTTTCCGTAGTTGTGGGGCCATGGGCAGGTCTTAATATCTGACCCTCAGTTTTCTCATCTGTCTAATGAGAATGACCCACCTGGTGGGATAGTTGTGAAGGTTAAATAGAACCAGCTCAAAAAGTGCATGGAAGGTGCTCAGTCATTTAAAGGGGTGTCCACAGCTCACCTGGGAGGTCTTCCAGCCCTCCCTGCTGACCACCCCCCTCACCCCAGGCTGCAGATGCTGGAAGCCCTGTGCAGGCACTGGCCGGGCCCCATGAGCCTGGCCTTGTATCTGACAGACGCAGAGGCCCAGCAGTTCCTGCGTTTCGTCGAGGCCTCGGCGGTGCTCTCCGCCCGGCACGATGTGGCCTACCACGTGGTGTACCGTGAGGGGTCCCTCTACCCCATCAACCAGGTGCGCAACGTGGCCTTGGCCCAGGCCCTCACGCCTTACGTCTTCCTCAGCGACATTGACTTCCTGCCTGCCTACTCCCTCTACGACTACCTCAGGTGGGCCCGAGGGAGAGCAATGGTACGTGGGTGGGTGTGGTCAGGACTGGGGCACCTGCAGGACCTAGGCGAGTGTGTCCCTGCTCCTTTCTTGGCTTCAGTGTTGTCTGTAAAGTGGGGTTTGCGTTAGGGTGGGGGCACGCTGTTTCTCTGGGCTGCCATAGGAGGCTGGGGGGGCAGGGCCTGCTTCCCACAACAGCTCCACTCGGGTCTGTCTTCCAGTGGGCGTCAGGTGAGCTAGCCTTTGAAAGTAGGGTCCTATGGCTGATAAAAGCAAGAGAATCACTGGTCCAGTGCTGGTCCATCGCCTTCCCTCCTGTTCACGATGCTCCCTCCTCAGGGCCTCCATTGAGCAGCTCGAGCTGGGCAGCGGGCGGAAAGTGGCCCTGGTGGTGCCAGCATTTGAGACCCTGCACTACCATTTCAGCTTTCCCACATCCAAGGCTGAACTGCTGGCTTTGCTGGACGCAGGCTCTCTCTACACGTTCAGGTAGGAGAGGCCACTGCTTTGTCCCTGTTCCCCACACCAGCCCTCACCATCCACGAGCTCCTAGCCTCAGCCTGGCTCCCTGCCCTGTCCCTTTCCACAGGTACCACGAGTGGCCCCAGGGTCAAGCACCCACAGACTATGCCCGCTGGCGGGACGCTCAGACCCCATACCGCGTGCAATGGGCTGCCGAATACGAGCCCTATGTAGTGGTGCCACGTGACTGTCCCCGCTATGACCCCCGCTTTGTGGGCTTTGGATGGAACAAGGTGGCCCACATCGTGGAGCTGGATGCACAGGTGAGGGGGATCCTTGATGCCTCCAGCTTTTATTTGAATACCTCCAGGCCCAGGGAGCTCACTATGTTCTAGCGTGGTGCACTGCACCGTTAGGCAGCACTATTAGAAGTCCCGCCCTTCTGCAGAACTAAAATCATCTCCCTTTTGGTCTGGTTTTGGCTCTTAGAGACTATCGGATAAGCCCACGCCCCATCCCCCAGCCAAGGCACTGACCGTTTGCCTGCCCTACCCCCGCAGGAATATGAGCTCCTGGTGCTGCCAGAGGCCTTCACCATCCACCTGCCGCACACCCCAAGCCTTGACATTTCCCGTTTCCGCTCCAGCACTGCCTATCGCGACTGCCTGCGGGCCCTCACGGACGAGTTCCACCAGGACTTGTCCCGCCACTATGGGGCTGCTGCCCTCAAATACCTCACTGCCCTACAGCGGCCCTGAGGCCCGCCGACCTCCCAAGGCTGGGCCTGTGTGGCCACTGCAGCCCCTTGCCTTGGCTCACACACACTCCCATTATTTAAATTATTTAAGGTCTCTATGGGAAGGGCTGCTGTGGAGCAGCTGGGGTGGGGCCTGGAGGCCTTCCTTTGCTGCTGCTCTATGGCTGGGGTCTTGTCTCCCTCTGCCCCAGCTGGTTTGGGGCTGGTTCCGGTTCCCCCATCCTCAACTATACATCCCTTTTTCACAATTAAAATTTTAAAAGCTCCGTTTCATGTTCTTGGTTTGGGGCACGAGGGTATCGGTGAGCCCAGGGAAGTGCCTGGGAGGTCCTGAGTCTTGCTGGAGTCACAAGAGGGCCCGGGTCCTCCCCTGGAGGCTGGGACTAGAGTTTGTCTTGCCCACCCTCCCAGACCCCAAACCCAACACCATGAGGCTGAGAGACTTTATTTGGCTTTATTTAGTAAAATGTTAAAATAAATAAATACAAATTGATCAGCTGCTCTGTATCCCCCCCACCCCCTCAAAACAAAAATCAAACAGAAACAAAAACTTTGAAGCACAAAACTCCAAATACAAGTTCTACCAAGACTGAAATCACAAAGGGTGTGGACAAAAGACAGGTTGGGGGCTGGCTGGCTCTTTTCTGCTCAGAGCTTGCTGACCTCTGGCTGCCTGTCCTGTCCTGCCTGGCTGCAGCTTACCCTGGGCTGTGGACCCAGTGACACTGGAAGAAGGGGCAGGGGCCAAAGGCTGCGGTAGGGACAGTGGAGTCCTCAGGGTTCAAGAAGGGCCTTGTGGAAAGAGAGCCAATGGGATTTGTGAGCCTTGGTCTCCCTGGAAAAGGGCTATTTTTAAAGAGCTCCCACCCTGGTTCTCTGCAGGGGGTGACTCCCAGCTTCTTCCCCTTCACATTTTTGGGAGGGCCAGTTATCTTCAGGGGCCACCCCCTCCCTTCTTGGGAGGCGCTGACACTGAGGATGGCTGTAAGTTGGGGTGATGATGGGCCTCCTGTTTCCTGCCAATGGTGCCCAGCTGAGGGGTGGGTGTGAGGCCCACCGTCCTTTACACAGAGCACGGTGCCTCCATCCCAACAGAGGCCATGGAATCTGGAGAACCCAGGGCCTGGAAAATGCACCTGGGCCACCATCCATCTTAGCACCCGAAGAGCCTTTTGCCCCTGGGGTGAAAGTCTCCTATTAAGCCCTTTGGATAAATAAGACCACACCCTAAGAGCGAGCGAAGGGAGGAAACCATTTAGGGTGTGTTGTGTGAACTGGGAGAGCCCAGAGAGGCTCTGCTGGCCCAAGAAAGTATGGAGATGGTGGAGGCAACTATACACAGACAGGTGAGAGGAAAGGGTCACCCTCGAGAGAGGTGTGGGGGAAGCAACTGCACCCATTCACGCCACCTACTGAGCCAAGAAACAGCAGGGACAGAGAGGCAGTTCCTGGAGTGAAACTGGGCACTCAGATGGTGCCAGCTGGAGGCCGCCATGGCCATGTTGCAGGCCCCACACAGGTCTCCCTGCCAGCCCCCACCAGTAGGCTTACCTCAAAGGGCCTGATAAGGAAGGAAGCAAGCAGAACTCCGGATGAGCTCAGCAGAGGTGAGACAAGACCCAGCAGGCTCCATGAAAGAAAAAGGACCTGCAGGCCACATTGGCAAGAAAGTGAGCTGAGTGGTAAGATGACAGCAACGTGACCTCACTGCCTCCAGGGCACAGCGCCCGAGCCACAGGACTGACATGGGCCCCATGATCAAGGGCCAGGTGGGCAGCTTCCTGGTCTCAGACCAGATGATCCCTGGCCTCTGAAGTGACTACAAAGCCAGCTGGTCTCAGATATATCTGTCAGTGGCGAAACTCAGGTGTGGGGAAAGGAGACGGGAAGTTCGGGTGGGGCAGTCATGAGTGTGTCTCAGGTGGTCACAGGCACCCACAGATCTGGAGGACAGAGAGGAAAAGGAGACTGGGTGACTAGGGCCTTTTCTTTGCAGTACGAGGTGTCTTGAAATTTAAGTCCAGAATGTGGGTGTGGGGCAGGGTTGCATTTTTATACTCTATACTAGCTGACTCCCCAAGTGGCTCCTATCTGAACTTCAGGAAGGATCTATACCCCAGCCCTAGGCACAGAGTGGGACTGCTTACAGCAGCAGGCAAACACTGGTCAAGTCCCAGCGCTGCCCCACCCCTGAGAATCCTCAGGCAGCTCCTTTCTGAGCGAAGGCCACTAGTGATGATGGTTTCCCAACTTCTTTCAAGAAGGAAGGTATTGTGTGGCAACCCCAGCTTCTGGGCCCAGACAAGTCGAATGGGAGCACTCTGAGACAGGGCCTACAGCCTGGCGCTAGGCTCTGAACCTCTGCCAACTATTCCTCCGACTAGTCCAGGCATTTCCAAAGCTCCCTGACTAGACATAGCACCTTGGTTTCTGCATGAGGAAAGGAAGCTCCTCTCTTTCCCCCTAGGCAACCTCTCAGTCAGGGCCTCTGAGGCCTGCACAGCCACTCAGAATCCCCCTGTAATCTCCCAGGAAAATGAATGAAAACCGCTGGTAGAGGTGACACATTTCACCTAAGAACTGTCTCTCTGTTGCATTTGCTTTCAGGATCCATCTTTGTCTCTCTGGGTTTTTCTGGGTGAGGGACAAATAATGGGACCTTTTCCGCCCCTCCTAGACTCTGGCCATTAGGAGGCATGGGGTGGGCTTGGGAAGAGATGCTCTGGGAGGGCTTGGGGTGCACAGCCTCTGCCCCCCTCCCGTTGGCGTGGTGCACAGTGGACAAAGGACTCCAGCAGGAGCATGCACCTGACAAAATTTATTTCCCACAAGGCAAGAAGATAGAAGTGGTCCGTGCCTTTCAGAACCCTGGTTTTTAAAGAAGGAGACAAGCCAAGCCAAGCACAGAGATTCTAGCCAAAGGTCACCCAGGAAGCTTGTGGGTGGGCAAAGTGGAGTGAACTCCATCTCCGTGCCTGGAGCCAGCAGGCAGAGAAAGGGGCTGGAAATTCAGACCTCTCTTCGAAGGCAAGGCAGGCACCCTGGGGCTCTCTGTCTGTCTCAGAAACACCACATAATCTTAAGAAATCACATTCCTTATTCTTTCTAAGCACCACGGGCTGATGCAGCCAGCCTACCCCCTGCACCCTCCCAGAAGGCCGGGGTGCACAGGCACCAATGAGCTTCACTGGCCATTTCCTTCCAAGTTGTCCCCCAGGCACTCAAAATGCTGGTGGCTGAAAGACCAAGAGCAGCACCAATGGAAGGGATCTTATTTAGGCACCAGCCTTTTGCTCTAGCAAAATCCGTGGGGATAGTGGGTAGGGCCCCGATACCATCCATACTCCGTTTGGGCTTCAAAAACAGGAGCCCCTCTCACTGCACCAGGAAGAGAGGGCAGTCTTTTCTGAGGAGGGGAATGGTAGGAGAGCTCCGCCCCTGCCCGGCAGGCCTGCAGCCATCCCAGGTCAGAAATCATGGAGGCTAGCCCACCAGTCTTGAGACACAAACACAGCAAAATGTCATCATGATCAGCAGGTTCTGTGCTAAAAAATTATAACTACACAGCATTTTCTCCAGTTCTGACACCTTTTTAATAGAAATCACTGTTTTTAGGAAACAAATAGCACTTTTGTAATTTTTTTACAATGTTTCTTACCTTGATCTTAATTTAAGTAACACTAGGAAGACCTCAATATCTTTTATTTTTCTTTTTTAATTTAAAAAAAAGTTGTTGTTTTTTTCCCCAGATACAAAGATTTTGCCCTTGCATAAAAAAACAGTGCCCCGAACGATGACACAAGGACTCACACAGACTCACTGACCTCACTGACACTATGGTTCCTATTCTACCATGCAAGGTCTCGACTACCCTTAATTGGACTGTCAGCCTGAAAAACAGCTTTTCTATTCCTTATTTTAGTTTTTGTTACCAAAAAAGTAAAATAAACAACAAAATAAAACTTTTTTTAAAAGAAAAAAGAACAAAAACAAAAATTAAAAAAAAAGAAAAAAAGAAACGTCTCCATTCAATTCACACACACCTGGGTCGCGTGCTGCTTTGCTCAGAATCTTCTCTTATAAATATAGAAAGGGGATGGAGCTTGTTTTCAAGTAAAATCACTGATCCACCTTTTTTCCTTCCTGGACACACACACCCTTCTTCCCTGTTCTGGGAGAGGGAAGGCCCCGCCACCCACGGGATGCACGCCAATTTGCCAGAGCGGGGAAGGAGCCTGGGGAGTGGGGGGCGCCCGCGGTGGGGCGCGAGTGCGCGGAGAAGAACCCGGGGGCTGTCCTTGGTGTCCATCTCCCTGCACACTGTGGCCCACCACAGACAATAAGAAATACTGCTTATTTGATATACTTCTCCCACCCCGGCTCCCTCCCATCCCCTCCCCACCCCTCCTCTGGGCACTGGGGTTGGTTAAATCTCGATTTCCTTTTTTTGGTTTTATAGTAGTGAAAGTTTAGAAACAGGAAAAGCCCACACACTCTTTGGACTTGTCTTCTCTACCTAATCAAACGGCTCGGCAAATAAGGATCTGAAACCTGCTCTCCTCCCTCCGCCCGTCCCTGCTCCCCACCCAACAAAACAAAACCAAACCCATCGTGGCTGTGGAGGCTGCTGCAGGCACACACTGGTGTATAATAGAGAGAGTAAATATATTATTTCACTTGGCATGGTGCTGGCAAAGAACCTCCAGCTGGCACTATTTCATGTAACATGGTCCAATCTTTGCATGTACACACAGGATGCGAAGGATCAATTGGCAAACTCTGGTGCCGCCTGGCACAAGCATCTTCTCTCTCTCTGGAACCAAAGAACCAAAAGAATTCTGTACTTTCCAGAAGAAATCCGGCTTTGCTTTTCTAGTCTTCAGTGTTTTGCTCTCCTTGCCGCCAGGATCCCGTGGCTTCTCCTAGCAGGGCTCTGTTATTTAGTCTCTTCCCCCTGGTTACAGTTCGCTGTGCAGCTCTGAGAGGAGGGGGAGGGGGCCGGCGTGGAGGTGGCGGCGTTGGCAGGGGGGGTGCAGTCCGGGCCATTGGAGATGGCCCCCACAGTGGCCTCAGAGTCTACGGATTTGGAGAGGTCGATGCCGTGGATGAGGCGGATCAGCTGTTTTACCTTCTCCAGGGAGCTGTGCATCTCCTTCTGCCGGGCCAGGATGGTGTTCTTCATTTCCATGCATTTCTGCAGCAAACGAGAAGGGCGGTGGCACTGAGCCTGCGGCTCTGCTCACAGGCCTGCCAGCCTCTCCAGGTAAAGGATCCTTCCTGGCTAGTGTGCAGCCCCTGGACCTGTTCTGCTCCACACCGGAGTGGATGCCACCACCCAAGAAAGGAGAAGGCCCCAGAGGCAAGAGAAACAGGGCAAGTGAGTGGTTTAAAAGCCAACTTTACTTGATACTGGGACTTAAAACCAAAGGTGAATTGCCACTCTAATACCATGAAACAAAAGTCGTTTTAAAAACAAAATTCCCACAGCTGTGCTGAAGCTGGTTTGGGCAGGTATGTTTCCACCACGCTGATGGGTTCTAACATACTTAGGACCGGACTGAGCTTTTCAGGGTAGAAAACAAGCCAGGGGTATCTGGGTTCAACTGGAGGGCCTACCGAGGGTCACCTGGCCAGCAAGAACTTAGAGGGAAAGGCAAAAGAACCCCTTCTGCTCCATCACGTGAAGCCTGTAGCCCTCAGCCTCTCACTTGTTGGCTTCTGTCTAGGCAGGGAAGAGATGCGAACCCTGCCTGCCACAGGGAGTGTGGTGGGAGGGAAAGCAGGTTAGCGGGACAACTCAACTGAGTCCGGGACACCACCGAGTGTCTGTGAGGGCCGGGGCCACCTCACTCCAACAAAGGCACCTACTCAACGGAAAAGAACTTGCTCCTCCCAACAGGGGCCTCTGAATCCCTGTTTCAAATACAACTCTCTTTCCCGCCTGAACACAGCAGGCTGGGCAGTATTTACTTCCATACTTGTCTCTAGAAACCCCTCTTCCTCAGGCTGGTCAGCAAAACCTGGAAGTGCAAACAGCATGGTGTGGAAGAAAGGGTGGAAGGGAAGGGCCACATGGATGGATCTACTAGCTCGGGGGACTAGAAAGACTCATGTGGGGGCCTGGTCTGTATCTGCCCAGTGTCAGGTGAGGCTCCACACTCCTCCCAAACTTGCTCAGGAATGCACAGTGTGGTGGCTACATTGTCGTAGCTATTAATCTGTCTCTTTGGCCTGGAGACTGAAAATCCTCACTCTTAGACCCAACCCAAGAGGACATTCCAGAGCTTGGCTAAAGCACCATATACCAACTGGCCATCTGTACCTGAGGGCCAGTTCTAACTGGAGGCAAACTTTACATCTGCCCAAGTTAGTTGTGTTAATAAGCTAAAGGATCTGAATCGGCCCTTGGGAGCCCCATGAACTGTTACGTACATGGAAAGTCCTGTACCTCTGCATTCATCACTGAAGGTGTGAGGTTTACTTACACTTATAGAATTGCTGAGCTGTTTCACCTTCTGTTCTAGTTGTTCTCGTTCCTGTTTTAAATCTGAACTCCATTTAAGTAACTTCTGTTTCTCTTCTTCTTTTGCTGAAAACAAGGAACTGTTTTTAATAATAAATTCTTTGAAAGGGCCACTGTGTTCAGAATGCTTGCCAAAGAAGATCACTTTCCCCAAAGCTCCCGAGCCCCAGGGCCAGTGCACAAAACCTGCCCACCTGCCCCTGCCCCTTTCCGTGTACAGACACGTGAAGGAAACGTCAGCGGCTCTGGCCCAGCTTTGCATGAACGAGATCGACCTCTCACTCTTCCTCCCCAAGAAAGTGTTACAACAACTTCCCCCATCATTCACTAAAAGCTCTTCGTTTTTAACTTTAAATTTCCTTTTGGAAACAAAGCAAATACTTTCTTCCAGTAGTTTTTCTTAAACAAGGGAAGATCACAAAAGGGTGCACGAGTGATTACCTACCTGCTTTGTAGGCGATATAGGAATGAACAATTGCTAACGTTCCAGGCCATGGGATTGCTTCTTCCTTCTTTAGCATCTGAAAAGATTTTTAGAATTTTACCTTGAGAAGGAGGTATAAATACAGCCCCCCCTGGGTAATGACAAGCAAGAGTGTCTGGAGCTACCGGCAGACAGAAATCCAGGAAGGACGATGGCAGTGCTGCGAAACACTGGTCTATAGTTTCTGGACTATGAAGTTCCAGATATCAGCCTGAGAGAATGAGGCACAAAGCCAAGCTACCCGAGCCCCGACAGAAGGAGCCTGGGCATTCCTCCCTTTGCATACGTGCTGCATGCCCCCGACGACTCCCCACAGCCAGAACTATAAGCTGCAAGCGCGCAATATGGTGCAGCCACTGGCGGTTTCCTCCCTGACCTGACCTGGGCCGCCTGTCTCAGCTTTAGCTTTATGTGCCTCACAGACAGCCTGACCCGGGAAATGAAGTCTCAGCTCTGATACTACAGTGTAACCTAGAGCCCGTGCGGAAAATGGTCAGCGGGTCGCAGAGCAGCGCCTGGAAGAGGACGCGGAGCGAACTGCCTCTACTAACTGCATCGGGGAGACACGGGAGGAGCGAGGTTAACGGGGACACCAGAATTCTCTCAAATCAGGATTCCAAAGAACTGAGCAGGATCCTGATCCTGCTGAGCTACTGACCTTATTTATTTATTATTTATACTTTGCCTACTTCCGAAAAAGACTTGAGACCGCTTATAATAAAAACATTAAGATACATGGATAGCTGAAAAAAAGAAATCAGAGACTAAGCAGAGAAGGAGGGAAGGAGCTGGGACAGTTAATCATAGTGTCATGTGCCATACAACGCTTCGGCTACTGACAGACCACATATACTACAGTGTCCCGTAAGATTATAATGAAGCCAAAAACTTCCTATCGCCTGGTGACATCGTAGAAAGCACACTGCTCACGTGTTCGTGGTGGTGTTGGTTTAACAAACCTACTGCGTTGCCAGCCATACAAAAGTGCAGCACATGTACTTATACACAGTCCACAATACTTGACTATAATAACAGATGACTATGTTACTGGTTTATGTATTTGCTATACTATACTTTTTACTTTATTATTTTTTAATCCTTACCCAAGGATATTTTTTCCATTGCTTTTTCAGAGAGAGTGGAAGGAAGGAAGAGAGACAGACTGATGTGAGAGAGACACATCGATCGGTTGCCTCCCGCACACACCCTGACCGGGGCCTCGGGCTGAGCCTGCAACCTAGGTGCGTGCCCTTGGCTGGAATCAAACCTGGGACCCTCCACTCCACAAGCTGACGCTCTAACCACTGAGAAAACTGGCCAGGGCTATACTTTTTATTTTAGAGTGTAGAGTTCTGTTTATTAAAATCAAGAAGTTTGCCGTGAAGCAGTACTGTGCATCTCTTGATTGCATCGTTTCCTCTGGTGCTTGATTTAATCTTGTGCTGTTTTCTACAGTAACATGCCGTAGGGGCCGGCGACCTAGGAGCAGTAGGCTACACGGTCACACGGCCTAGGTGTGTAGCAGGCTCTACCGCCTGGGTTTGTGTAAGTGCACCCTAGGATGTTCTCATGACAAAAATCACCTAATGACACACTTCTCAGAATGTATCCCTGTCGTTAAGCAGTGCATGATTCTGTGTTTGCCTTTCAAGTCCATGAAATATTAAGATACCACTTTACAGTTAGTTCTCTGATCCTGATGACAACATAGGTTAAAAGTGAAACTGTTGTTCTTTGAATGAAACAATTAATTGAGCACTTTCATTTAAGAATTTTACTTTCAAAAAAGAGTTTCAAAATCATATACTGGGTTTGGAACTATTCTTAGAGAATGAGGCAGAAAGTCTTATGGGCTTTTAAAGGGCATGCTAATAAGTCATTTCAAATAAAGGGAAGCAGCTAGGGTCTCTCCACCTACACAGAGAGTCACTGCCTCATGAATGTGACAGAAAACCTCAGAGGGGAAGGATGCTGTGTGGGTGAGTGCTGTGCCGTGAACAGGGCAGGTGTGGCCTGGAGAACTACCGGGGAAGGAAAGGGACTCTGCCATTTCCCCAGATTAGAGGGGAAAGGAAGTCCTCCTGACCGTGTGTCTTGTTCCTCCTTGGCCCCATCCCCTGTCTGACTCCCCACTGTACCTGGTCCTGACATCTGGGACAGATCCACATGCCCTTGGGAATCGTTTTCAGAGGAGGGTCTAAGCAGTCCAGATGATACACACGGGAACACGTGTCACACATCAGCAACTGACCACTTTTTCTGCACACACTGCAAAAATCCTCATGGATATCACCCTATGAAATTGAGAAGAAAGGTAAGAGAAAGGACAAAAGGTAAAATGTGAATGTTAAATATGCACATTCTGGATATGTATAAATGTTTTAGGACAGTCAGCTGTGCTTCCTCTGACATGTTACCATAGTATTCAAGAAGAGTACTGGTGGCACAGCCCCCTCCTGCCCTGTACAGCTGAGGTCCCCTGGCCAGGGGAAGTACTTTTAGTTTTAAAGCAGACTTCACAGGAAAGCTCTATAGTCATCCAGGTCAAAATTAACTTCACAGGTGACAGCTCAGCATCTATTGTTTTGGTAGAGGCTAACGCATTATCAGAAAGTTTAAAGACACTGAAATCCGTTCATCAAAGTTCTAAAAACAATGATACAAACAATTCTCATTACCTATCATTTCTGGAGATAATTTAGAAGGACAGGGAAGGACAACAGACGAGAAGTGGAATTTTACTAAAACTCCTGCTTGTTCAGGGAGAAAAAATATAGCGAAAGTTCAAATGGGAAAAGATTAAGTCAGGAGCCAATTACACTCATTAAACTGAGCTTTCTGATATGAAGACCTTAAAAGCCAGAGCAACAGCTGACAATGTTCTCTCTTAAAACCAGTATTTGGCATTTGCTGTTCAATGGACCATTCTATTCCTGGAGGCTATACTCCTCCCTGGGAAATACTTCGCCAGGTGAGGGAAGGGCACCTCTGTGTGCTCTGCCTGGCTCCCCGCCCCCATCAGTGAGTTTTAGTGCCCAGGTAGGTCTGCTGGAGCCCTCTGAACAGAAAGCACCATCAGAAAAAAAAAAGAAAAGAAAAGTGGATCTACTTAAAATTTGGAGAGGAAAACACTG